CAACAAAAAAGTCTGCAGCAAAAAAAATGTACACCCACGATAAAAATTTCTCCGATGTATCTGAAGGGCACATTAGAGCACCAATGATTTCTTACGACAATCAAAATAAACAAATTCCTTACGACAATCCAATAATATCGTGTTTGAAACCATTAGAGCACCAATGATTTCTTTTTCCAGTCACCAATGATTTCGTAACTATTTTATTTCGTGATTGAACTTTTAGTAAGTAATTTAATTTGTTCTTTTTCTGGCATAAACCAAAATAAATATGTATATACAGTAAATCAGTTTCCCCCCCCCCCCCCAAATGTCAATGGTAAAACAGTTTGCAATTTGATCATTCCAAATAATGTAGCAACAATGAATTTCTAGTCCAAATAAACCATTTTTTTAATTAGAAAGTTCGGGATCGAAATCCATAGTCTTCTCTCTAAACGCGAGACAAAACATGCAAGTGTCACTCAATTTTGTTCACTATTATTCTTCGTAAACCGAAAATTTCGTATCAAAAACCGAACTCAATTTTGGATTGAACATTTAGTGGCAATCTTAAATCGGTTTGGTTCAGAGCATTACTCTCGGTACAACATAAGAAGACTGAAGAAGCAGACCCAAACTATATACAGTTTGATCAAAGCCTAAATAATAGATAATCTAATTGGTATTTCTTTCTTCAGTTTCTTGAATCAATCATCTTGAAATGAACCATAAAAGCAAAAGAACCAACGGTTCCTAAAAGCTTTTTGCGGTTGCGGTTGCGATTGCGTTTGAGACCTTGATTCGACGACGAATTCTGTTGTGGCGGTAGGTGATGAATTAGCATGTGACTTGCTGGGATGAAATAAAATTGCGGTTGCGTTCTTGTTTGCGTTTCTTCTCGAGGCAACTCTAGCCTCTTATCGACAACGTTCCAGCTTCTTTCAAAATACGGCTTTTTGACACTTCCCTCTTCGTTATGCAATCTGTCAGAAAAGAAAGAAGAAAACCAAAAGATGAGTTTTTGATTCAAAGAAACATAATTAGGGCTAATGTTTTCTTGCGGTGCAAGTAAGAAACAGAGCAGAGTTATATACATTGGGAATGAGAAAGAAGAGATACTGTTGTTGCTCGTGTCTGAACGACAACAAATGCTTGAATCGTCTGCTAAAATCTCCTTCACGTCATCTTCTAATTCTTTCTCTTCATCATCACTCTCTGAATCTGATTTCACATCATCATCTTCTGTTTCTTCTTCCTCATCACTTTCAGTGTCTGAATTCTCAGCGTCTAGTGATTCCTCATCCGGAGGAAGATAAATAACCGGGTTTGTTTCGGTTATGTGGTTAACCGGTTCACTCAAATAGCTTAGTTTAATCTCCTTCGCATCCTCTTGTCTATCCATTTGATCTGTAATCTCATGTTCTTCGTTCTTGACTTTTATTATCTCTTCCTCCTTGTTAGTGTCAAGTGATTTTTTATCCGAATTTGTTTCGGTTTTGTTAACCGATTCGTTTGATTTCTGAAATCTATCTAATTTCAACGCAGCAGCTAACCCAATTAATCCATTTTTGCTAGAGAGACTTGCATTCCCCTTGTGGAGGCTATAAATCGGCTTATTAGAGGCTGAACTCCAATCCATTGATCCAACCGGTTTACCAAAGAAACCCCGAGAAGTAATCCGGTTTGGGTTGTATTCGGTTTGAACGTTCATTTCTTTGAGATGATTCTGATATAACAAGGAAAAAATAGAGAAAAAAAAGTTGGAATTGATTGCAGAATCTGAGAGAATTTGCTACTGTGTTTAATAGGGGGTTTTGTCTTTTGCTTGTGGGATGTTTGTTTTACTAACATTCTTTAAATTTTAACAAACTGACAGAATCTGAGAGAAAACGCAAAACAAACTTTAACAAAAGTTTCCTTTTTTTTGTAATGTTTATTTTGCTATTGTTATTTTTTAACTATTGAAGCCGTTGGATTATGGCGTTTGTTAAATCAATGAACTAGAAAATTAAACACATAGATAAGGAATTAGTTTTGTAGTTAGAAACGTTTAGCAACGAAGTTAGCGTGTGTGTGTGTCTGAACTCTGAAGCTAATAAACTGATAAATCATGTTTTTGTTTTTCCTTTTCTGTTATTACTTCATCATTTTTGGCAAGAAGACAGAAAGTTCAGAATGGTAT